GGGTTGGCTCTCTTTCTAATCGAAGATGAACCACTGGTTATTGTACGTTCTTAGGAGGTAATGTTGTCTCATGGAAAAGTAAGAAATAATCAGTGGTAGCAAGATCCAGTGTTGAGGCTAAGTATAGGGCAATGAAGCATATGACGAGTGAGTTGACTTAGCTACTACACTTCCTCTAGAAAATTGGGTTTCTAGTTCAACCTTCTTTGCAATTGTTCTGTGATAACCAAACAACTATCTATATCGCTGTCAATCCAATGTTTCACGAGAGAACTAAATATATTGAGGTTGATTGTCATTTTATTAGAGACAATATAGTAGTTGGAGAGATTACGACTCCATTTGTAAAATCTGAAGATCAACTTGCAGATATGTTTATCAAAGCATTGAGTCGTACACGTCTTACAGCAATTTGTTTCAAGCTTTGATTATATGATATATATAGTCTAACTTGAGGGACAGTGTTAAGAGTATTAGGGTAGTATGTGTAATTTGTTAATAGTATTAGAGTATTATGTGTAAATATAAGAGAGTGTATGTGTAATTCTTATTATTATGAATTAACTATAAATACAAGTAGTTTTTGTGAGAGTAGGTTAAGTTTTGACCACTCTCTCTCTTTCTCTAATATTATGTTAATTATTTAAATTTAACATAATTAATCCAAACTTTTTTAATCTCAAAATAGATGATAGTTAGTTCCAGATGCACATTGATATATATTACCACCTTTCAGTGCATAAATTAATATTTTAAAATTTTGAGGGTGTAAATTAAAATTCGAATGATCTTTTGGGGTGCAAGTTGAGATTAACCCTATTATGTAATTAATTAGAGAAAATTTAAGAAAGATTGATCAAGGTAATTTGTTATTTTATTAAGATTATTATAGTAAATCAAAAAAATTTCATATTTATTGTCATTTTATATTAGTATAGATATAGATATGAAGAAAAAAAATTAAGGGAATGTGTTGTTTGAGGATTAAATGGTATTATAGGGTGGCATAGAAGGAAATATTACCTAAGACCCACCTATTACCTTGTTTATTTGACATTTTATACGTAGTATTATTTTTCAGATCGTAATACCGACCCGATTTGCACAGTGTCCATTAAACCTTGTACTTGATATTAATGAATACTACCTATCCGGTGGTATTATCTTCATAGTATAAATGAAAGGACGGTACAAAAGAAAAAATGACACAAATGCCCTCCTTTATTAAGAGTTCACATATAAAAAATTTTATTTTGAATTTTTTTCTTATATTACGTTTAAACGTATGGTATCATCGGTTTTTTTTTTTAAAAATTATTTTCTTATATTATGTTTAAACATACGGTATTTATCGATTTTTTTTTTAATTTTAAAAAAAAAAAATTTTGAATTTTTTTCCTTATATTATGTTTAAGCGTTTAGTATTATCGATTTTTTTTAATTTTAAAAAAATTATTTTAAAATTATTTTCTTATATTATGTTTAAGTGTACGGTGTCACCGATTCATAACATCAAATTCTTTATTTTTTATGTGAATTTTTTACATTATATGAAATTTTTTGGGTATAGATTGTTATATGATGTATTATACCAAATATTATGCAAAAGTGTTACACAAACAGAGTAATGGAATGAATGATGTTAAGGGTAAAATGATATATTTGTTATATAAGATGTGATAAAATAGATGGTTGTTTGTGAAAGTCACTCTAGTACCTATTGAACAAACAAACATGGAAGGAGATTGAAATTCTTTCTATTATTGGTACTAATCTTCATTAGTATTAGAAATGTAAAAAATACATTTTCAATACCACCCATATTTAATACCCAAACAAACATGCCCTAATAGTGCAGTTTCAAATGATTTTAGCTCGGATGTAACTTACTATCTATAATCTAAAACAGAGTAGGCATCAATAAGTTTATCTGACAATTTCAGATAGACTTATTCAACGGGTGCCAACATCCTTATCAAAATTATTCATATTATACCAGACCTTAAAACACGAATTACCCCTAATTTATTAATAAAAAAGAATGAAGTATTACTAATGATTTCACCTCTCTTTTCAATTTAGAATATCAAGATGAGACTTTATGGGTTTTTCACTCCATCCACCATCAGTCAAGATATTTGAGTTTGATTCTTGCTTAGTGATCCACTGCCATAATTAATACTTATAATTTACAATAATAGGTATTAGATGTTGACTTTACATGTCTAAATGTAATAGAATCTTTATCTTAAATCAATTTCACCTTATCAAGAAAATGTCACAGGTCACGGTGATTGACATTGACCCAATATAAATTCCAATTCACCTAATAGGACTTTTGTTTGATAACGTAATTGTAAAGGAACCACGTCCCCACCAACCATCAATCTGTAGAAGTTAACATTAATTATGTGGTGTAGATAGAATAGGTGTTGAAAATCTTTTGAAGTGGCTCGGTTGTTGAATTTTACCTCTAATAATTCAAAAATTTTAGATTCAAGATTTTTTATAAGAACTAGTTACTCTTATTCATCATCAGACATGTTCTAAATCTTATCAGACTACAGCTATCAATGATGATACATAAAAGGATCTTATGCAAGATCAACAGTCGAATATATAATAAAGTGTAATTAATTGACTATTAATAGAGCAATTAATGACAGTAATGCAAATATCGAGTCAACACGTAGATATATAATAGTTCGATCCGAATAACCTATTCTACTCCAAAAAACGACAACGGTAGCTGGGGANCAATAGTTCGATCCGAATAATCTATTCTACTCCAAGAAACGACAACGGTAGCTGGGGAACCTTTTATTGATTAAGTAAGGTGAACGAGAGAGAGAGAGAGCAATAATTAGCCCCAAGAGTGATACAATAGATAGGAGAAAGAAAAGTTATGTGTGGGGTGTGTAGAGGTGTAGAAATGTTTCTCTCAATAAAGAGAACTTACAATTTATAGGCATAAAGCCCTTAGGTGAGGCGGTGACGTAAGGGCAAAGGACCTACCTTTTCGAGGAGGATAACTACAAAAGGTAAGTACAATTAAAGGGTGTCTTAATCTTCGAGAGTGAATATCCTGATAATTGCTCCCCACGTGCTCTAATCCTTCTAGACTCCTTGAACTCTAGACTGGACTAAATTCATGAATTGGGTTTGACCCGTCATGTAACTGATTTGGGCTAACTTGATTTATTGGACTTAACCCGGTTGAATTTAGGTTCATCAATCAATATTCGAGTTCGCGTAAACCTTTAATAAAANGGGTGATTGTGTTTATTCTGAATTTATATTGAAGTTATAAATTCATGATTAATGTCCGAATTTATATTAAAGTCAAAAATCTAAAATACATGATTTTAAAATAGAATAAAGAAAAAAAGCTCTTACCCCATGTCTTATTGATTTGGGTTTGTTTCTTTGTAATAGAATTTTCTATGTTTCTCCGTCGCAGACATTGAAGCTTTACCCACGTATTGCCACATCAAAAGAGAGTGAAAGGCACTCAACCTTAATGATGGAGCCAATATGATTGAGTGATGGCTACCTCATTGAAAAAGATGGCATGTTATTCTATGTCAAAACTTCATATTTGCTCAAAACATCAACCATGTCAGGCAATTCATCGAAGACTGTTATTCAACCCCTAAATTGTGAAGATGGGAGCTTTATGTGGGTGTTTTTTTTTATGCTTTGAAGATGTTTGGTGAAATTTCTAACCCAAATGTTGTAAGCTTCCATCATTGTTATATTGTAAATGTTGAGGATGTGTTTGAATTGCATATGAAAAAATAGTAGTCAAAAACATATTTTTAGAAAGAATTTTAAAAAATGTGCTTTGATGTTTTTCAAAAAAAAAAAAACCAGTATTACAATGAAACCTGAACGAATGAAATAAGAGATTGATCATTGCCTTTAATAGAGATTCACTTCTGCTCTTCTAATTAGGAGTAGGACTGATCGACTGTGGACTAAGCCTAGTTGGTTGTTTAATGGACATTTAGTTAAATGAGATGACGGGTGGATTGTGCTGGAGTTTGTTTTGTAATATGGGTCGGGTACTTGTAACCCATGGTTCATGAAAAACCCACATGGGCTGTTCAGATGTTTCACTCACTCTCCAACTCTTTTATGACCCGAGTTCATTGGGCTATTTCAGCCCTTCGGTCGGCCTACTCTCTGATCCTCCAGCTGCCGGCTCGCTTTCACAGCAGTCCAAAAGCTTGTGCTCATACTTGCCCGGTCTTTAGTTACTGATCTTCCTGGTAATCAGAAACACCCTGGCTGCACCTGCTGCTCAATGAACACACCAATGTTTTTTAATCATCCATGTATAAGTTCAATACGATACCACAGCTACCATATTACACGCCAGTCCACCAGTGAAAGCTTCCAACAATCAACGACTTTCTCATATCCAAATATGAACTTTACGAGCATGTTCTTTGTCACCTCCCACAGCTTTTACGGCTCTATAACCCAACCCAACTTCAGGGGCATTGTAAGAGCCCAGTTCTTCAAATCAGTCAATGGCTCCTTTTGTGTTCTGCTCCATTTTTTTCCCTTTTAGTTGTAAGCTCAAAGATTCCATCCCATCTATGAATCAGAAGCAAAATTAGGCAGAATAAGGGTAGTTTAGTCTTAAATTGTAAGTTTGTTGTGGCATTGGAGGCAATGAAGCCAATGAACACCATATTCTGATTAGTGAAGTTGAATTAAAGCTTGTACAGGCCAGAGGTTAAACAGAACCTTTTACATGAGTCAACCATATGATATAATATTTTAATGAGATTATTTAAATATTATGACAGAACTTTATGATTCTAATGAACACTGCTAGATTATTCAAAATGTAGACTAAATAGCAGGACAGGTAGTTTACATTTGCAACAAAGAACTACATAACATAGATTCATATATATCTGAAAATCTGGATACAAAAACAAGAAATGAAATAAATATAAGGGAAAAAAAACTTGTAACAACGCTCTAGATCATGCCTTCTGAACTGAAAAACCAAGGATAAAGTCCTTGATTTCATCACTAGCCGCCCTATCAAGTGCGGTCCGTCCATCTGCATCCTTGACACTGTAATCAGCTCCAGCTCTCAGCAACTCTTCAAGTTTTGGCTTGTCACCTTCTGATGCAGCCATCATCAATAAGATGTCTACTGGGTGAATGTTTAGGCTTAAAAGAGCCTCCATCTTATCGTATGAACCCTCAACAGCAAGCATACCCATGTAGTTGAAATACTGTGAAGAGTAACAAATATTCAGTCATAAGCCCTCCCCTGAATCGTGACAGATAACTCGTGAAATGAAACTGAAATATTATCTGTGATCTTCATGCATTGTAGGAACCAAAAGCAGTGATCTAAAATAATGATATTACAAGCATGGGGGAAGTCAATTAATTGTCTCAAGGGGATCTTTGGTGGAAATTAAGGTCACCACTGTCCTGTCCAACAAAATCACATTCCATTCTCATTGAAGAGAAAAATCAGTATACTGACTGTTTGGGATCAAAACCTGTTGTACGTTGCTGGGTAATTGAGTTCACAAAAGCAAGATTGCAGTTCCCCATTTGTTCCATGTAGTTACGCCCCCACATGATTTCACAGTTTCCTTGATAAGATCAATCAGGTTTTATTCTAGGGTTTGTCTGAACTCCAAGGCATAAATACACCCATTATAACAACAACAAAAAAGAAGAGTGAAACCGAAAAAGTTTGGAGGGCTATACAGCCAGAAAATTAACAACACCATCTTGCGAACAAGGAGGTGATGACCAAACTCTTATGGGGACCTCTCACTGGAAAGAGATCTTCATGGGTCCAAACACACAGTATGAAATACAAAGCCCAAGATCTGCTTCAGGCCAGTTCTTTAGGTGATATTAATCTATTATGGTGAGAGACTGAGAGGTTGGGACATTATCAGAAAGGGCTGAGACATCACTNAATTCCATCCCATCTATGAATCAGAAGCAAAATTAGGCAGAATAAGGGTGGTTTAGTCTTAAATTGTAAGTTTGTTATGGCATTGGAGGCAATGAAGCCAATGAACACCATATTCTGATTAGTGAAGTTGAATTAAAGCTTGTACAGGCCAGAGGTTAAACAGAACCTTTTACATGAGTCAACCATATGATATAATATTTTAATGAGATTATTTAAATATTATGACAGAACTTTATGATTCTAATGAACACTGCTAGATTATTCAAAATGTAGACTAAATAGCAGGACAGGTAGTTTACATTTGCAACAAAGAACTACATAACATAGATTCATATATATCTGAAAATCTGGATACAAAAACAAGAAATGAAATAAATATAAGGGAAAAAAAACTTGTAACAACGCTCTAGATCATGCCTTCTGAACTGAAAAACCAAGGATAAAGTCCTTGATTTCATCACTAGCCGCCCTATCAAGTGCGGTCCGTCCATCTGCATCCTTGACACTGTAATCAGCTCCAGCTCTCAGCAACTCTTCAAGTTTTGGCTTGTCACCTTCTGATGCAGCCATCATCAATAAGATGTCTACTGGGTGAACGTTTAGGCTTAAAAGAGCCTCCATCTTATCGTATGAACCCTCAACAGCAAGCATACCCATGTAGTTGAAATACTGTGAAGAGTAACAAATATTCAGTCATAAGCCCTCCCCTGAATCGTGACAGATAACTCGTGAAATGAAACTGAAATATTATCTGTGATCTTCATGCATTGTAGGAACCAAAAGCAGTGATCTAAAATAATGATATTACAAGCATGGGGGAAGTCAATTAATTGTCTCAAGGGGATCTTTGGTGGAAATTAAGGTCACCACTGTCCTGTCCAACAAAATCACATTCCATTCTCATTGAAGAGAAAAATCAGTATACTGACTGTTTGGGATCAAAACCTGTTGTACGTTGCTGGGTAATTGAGTTCACAAAAGCAAGATTGCAGTTCCCCATTTGTTCCATGTAGTTACGCCCCCACATGATTTCACAGTTTCCTTGATAAGATCAATCAGGTTTTATTCTAGGGTTTGTCTGAACTCCAAGGCATAAATACACCCATTATAACAACAACAAAAAAGAAGAGTGAAACCGAAAAAGTTTGGAGGGCTATACAGCCAGAAAATTAACAACACCATCTTGCGAACAAGGAGGTGATGACCAAACTCTTATGGGGACCTCTCACTGGAAAGAGATCTTCATGGGTCCAAACACACAGTATGAAATACAAAGCCCAAGATCTGCTTCAGGCCAGTTCTTTAGGTGATATTAATCTATTATGGTGAGAGACTGAGAGGTTGGGACATTATCAGAAAGGGCTGAGACATCACTGAAGATGGTAGATAACATCATTTTCTGGTAGGTACAGGCCTTGGTTTCGACCAATCAGAACTCTCGTCCAAGGCTTACTTAATATGAATTTGATTTTAAATCTGAATGCTGCATCCATGAAAATCAAAAGTTTAACCTCTTGATTCCTGCTCATGGACCTCTCCAACTCCATCCAACTTTTAATCCAAGAACTCCTTTTGAACTGCATACTGATCCACCCAACAAGTAACAAGCTTAGCTTGGACCGTATCCACTAGAGAAAGGTTGTGCCATGTTTGCCCCTCATTTTCAACCATTCATTCGAAATTGCTTCAGAAAGTCAGCTCCTTCTTCAAGTTATTCATTTCTTCTGGCTGGCTAGACATAAGAATCCCTACAAAAGACCTACTTTGACTTTAAAATATCATACTGAAAACTTTGTCTGCAGTGCAAGAGCATACCAGAAACCTCCATCTCCTCCAAGATTGCCCAAAAGCAATAGGGACACGGGACCAGTTTAACAATCTCAGTGAACTGCACACAATAATCCCCATTGTTGGCTTTCAAAAGAACTGGCAACCTGCCTATATTTGTCTAAGTCTGGCTTGTCATTTTCCCCTTTACCTACCTGATGCGACATTTAGCCATCCTGAAAAACAATGTTTTTAGCCCACCCTTGCAGGCAACAACACAAACATACATTAGCAAGCATACTTCAGCGCCTCAAACCTATCTAGTTTTTGGCACACCATTGCATGCAACCACACAAATACAAACCAATTTTGCTAAAGCCAGTGTAGAGGACATTCTAACAACTCCCCCCCCCCCCCCC